TGGATGTGAAACATGGTCAGTAAGAATGGAGGTTATTGTTATTTGATCATAGGTTTCATAGAACCATTGTCTGTATATCCTAGGAAAATTGAGTAAACAGGGGCTGGAGTTAGGAAACTTCGTCAGTTGAGATGACTGGGGCATGTGTTACGTATACCCGACCACTGACTGCTACAACGAGCGATGTTTTGGGATGTAGGAGTAGGTTGGAAGAAAGCTAGAGGTGGCCAGACAAAAATATGACACAAATCCATGGAGTCACAGACAAGTGGTTTGAGCTAGGTGTGGACTACCTTGCGAGACAATAGTAACCCATGGTTAGAACCTTGAATGAAATGGCTCAAAATTGTTTGCAATGGCACAGATACATCCATGCTTTGTGTTCTCTCAGATTATAATCTTCTGAATTCCTTATCACCTTCGAAACCTGATCTTCGCAATTACCGCTAATACTTCTATTACATCTACTACAACGGGCATCTTTGTATGCTAGTGTGGTATGGCGACTGGAAATGATGTAAGTATGTATGAAGTTGTACGTAATTGCTGATTGACTGACTTACCCATAATTATAAAAATACAGGTGAATTCTCAAATGCTTTTTTAATCTATACATAATCGCCACCACTATGAGTTATTGAAGTACCAAATGCAGAGTAACATAAGGAACCCAATCATAAAATAATGCCACATAGAATCAGCAGTGCGCAACAATGACCCCCCATACACACGTGAATCGAACCCAAAACCTGTAGGGTTGTGCGCGAACGCTTAACTTTTAGACCACTGAGTCGGTACCCAGAGGTGGTAATGTCTAAATCTAATCAGTACAAGGTATTGCGCAACCTAACCTCATTATCTTCGGTAGCTAACTGCTTCACAATTGACACGGTCTATCTCCACTGATCGCGGCTTCCAACATTAATCGATTCATTATTTCAATGAAACCTAACAACCAAGGTAAATCTATGATGAAAATAAGCGAATTCATACCTGATAAATATCAGTAAATAAACTGATTCTTACTACAATACTAATATTCTTTTGCTTTTCTAAAAAGAAACAACAAAAATAAAATAGTTTCTGTTTCTATAGATCAAAATTTTATTTTTTTCTCTATGTAGATAAATAACGGAACTATCTTTAAGTATATATACTACTTAGTGGAGTATTTCTGTCTAAGGTAAGCCCTGACTTGGAATCCTTAAGGTCAAAGGAAAAGAGGAAGACCAAAGAGAACACATTACGTTGAGAATTGGACGCAGAAATCAAAAGAATGAACTGCGGTTAGGGAAGGAAGTCCGGAGACAGAATAGGTTTGAGAAAGCTGATCGGAGGTCTATCCTTCACGAGGAGTAACAGGATTAAGCAGGTTATTTCTGTCGATCTTGATACGCTCGTCAACTGATATGCTTGAATACTATTACGAGTTCACCTTACTCGGTAAACGGAGCGCAGATAAATAACGCAGTGACACGATAGGCTTTTCTAATCCGATTATCCCAGACCCAGCTAATTAAAGTAAGACGTTTTGATAAGGTGTAGAGAATGTATTCTACAGGCACTCAGAAAAAACGAGGTTGCTAAGCACACAAATCAAGCTTATTTATACAATGATAGCAAAGCCCTTGGTGAGAGCCACAAAAATAGCGGACTAAAATGACACATCAACCAATAACAGTTAAGGATTTGCGAGTGGAAGATGTAAGCTGTAGGTCAACTAAGCGTTTCTTTGCGCGGAAAACATAAAAATTCAAAATTTCTTAAATAAATTACAAAATTAGGACCTTTTTCAAGTGAGTTCTGGGGGCTAACGTCATCAGCATGTCTATTAAAGGTAGTCAAATCAACTGAAAGTCATTTTTATCACTCAATATTTCGTTTCTTCATTCTTTTCATAAAATTCAAATTCCTATTTTTTTTACTGATAAAACTTTTCCATACAAAATATAATTCATCTGTAATTGTCCTCCAGTCAGAAATGAGCCAGTTCAAGTGACGTTAACTAAGCAACTGAGGGCGAAAAAGTAAATTACTTCGTTTCTATGAAAGAAACAGAATGATTAGAAAGAAAATTTAGTCATAAATTTCTCACTAAAAAAATTATAAGTACACTCAGTTGATGAATACCAAATCACTCTTGATGGAGATGCCTTGGAGGACGTTAACACCTTTACATATCTGGGCAGCATCATCGACAACCAAGGTAGATCCAATGCAGTTGTGAGGGCGCGGATCCGAAAAGAAAGGGCTGCATACTTACAATTGAAAAATATCTGGAACTCCAAACAACTTTCAACCAAAACCAAAATAAGGATTTTCAATACAAATGTCAAGACAGTTCTACTGTATGGAGCGGAAACATGGAAAACTACCAAAGCCATCATCCAGAAGATAAATGTATTTATTAACAGTTGTCTACGCAAAATAATTCGGGTCCGTTTGCCAGACACGATCAACAACAACCTACTGTGGGAGAGAACAAACCAGATTCAAATGGAGGAGGAAACCAGGAAGAAGCGGTGGAAGTGGATAGGACACACACTACGAAAAGCAGCAAACTGTGTCACAAGACAAGTCCTCACTTGGAACCTCCATGGTAAAAGGAAAAGAGGAAGACTGAAGAACACATTACGCCGAGAAATAGAGAAAGACATGAGACGAATGAACAAAAATTTGACAGAACTGGAAAGGGACGCCCAGAACAGAGTTGGTTGGAGAAAACTGGTTGGCGGCCGATGCTCCATTGGGTGGGTTACAGGCGTAAGTAAGTAAGTAAGTAAGTAAGTCGGTTGATAAATACAATTCGTTCACATTTCATGTACATTGAAAGAAAATGCCAGTAGTATTCCAACAAAAACCAAAGCAAAACATTACTCTCTACTACCCGGCGAATAAATAACTTCACTTACATTCTATACAACAGTACCACTGTAAATTAACCCGTTGACAATTACTTTTCATAATGATTACGATTTGTTTTGAACGAGTAAACAAGCGAGCGAGCAAAACAAATTACTTTATCGAAATAAAAAACAATATACAACAATAATCTTTGACCTTTTTTTTTCGAAAAAAAAATAATTCAATAAATGGTACGATTGTTAGTAGTAATAGTAATGATAATAATTAGAATAATAATAATAATAGTAGTATGTATGTACTGCATATATTTTTTCTTCCTTTTCAATGTACAATTTTTACAATCATTCAATTTGTTACATTGATCAATATTCAATAAATAAATAGTAAGTAGTTACACTAATCACATTATCTCAATACTCGTGTGTTTATGATACAATTATAAAAATATGGCGATCATATGAAAGTGACCGATGGAGAATATGTGTATATATATGTGTGTGTGAGAGAGAGAGAGTGTTAGAGAGAGAGCAAACAACAACGTATACACCTCACTCAATCAAACATTGAATATTTACTACATTTATGTATAGAATACACTACACTTCAACGGATTGTTTGTTTATTATTAATATTGTTGTTGTTGTTTTAAACGAAGCTCCAAGTCATATTGATGACATGATAAGAAGTTGTTAGCACAATTCAAATGTACATAATTGAACATTTAACATTTTTGCAAAGAGTCAATAAGAGACGAATATAGAATAATGATTGAATGAATAAATGAATGAATGGATATTTTATTTGTTGACAATAAATGTTGTTACTATCAGTGTGATTATTATATATATTTTTTTACAAAAAAAACCAGAATACAATATAAACAATGTTTAACTCGATATTTAAATTGGACAAATTATCATCAATATATAACAATAACAATAAATAATAATAATAATAATAATAATAAAGATGTGATTTTTTATTTATAATGAAAATTAAATTAAATTATAAATTATTAATGAAAAAAAAAATAAAATAAAATGAATATGAAATATTCATTATCAGCGAATGTAGTCATTGAAGAAAATGTTTGAACATTGAAAAGTAAATGAAATATTTCGAACTTCTAAAGAAGGTACGAGTAAATTGGTGAATTTTTTCCGCCTACAGACCTTC